CTCCAAACGTACCTCTGCTCATTCCGGGCCAAAAAGTTCAATTTTAACCTCATCGGTCCACAGAACTTGTTTCCAAAATGCATCAGGCTTGTCTATATGTTCATTTGCAAAGTTCAAACGATGATTTTTGTGGTGAGGACGTAGAAGAGGTTTTCTTCTGATGACTCTTCCATGAAGACCATATTTGTACAAGTATCTCTTTATAGTGGAATAGTGTACCACAACTCCAGTGTTTGCCAGATCTTTCTGGAGGGATTGTGCAGTCAAACGTGGGTTTTGAATTGTTTTTTCTCACAATCCTGCGAGCTGTTCTGTCTGATATTTTTCTTGGTCTTCCAGATCTTGCTTTAACTTCCACTGTTCCTGATGACTGCCATTTCTTAATTACATTCCGAACAGAGGATATTGACATCTGAAAACGCTTTGCTATCTTCTTATAGCCTTCTCCAGCTTTGTGAGCGTCAACTATTTTCAGTTTCAGTTTTCTAGACAACAAGGTCAGATGAGTCTGGGCATTTAAAACCTTTGAGATTGACATCACCTGGTCTTCCCAGATGATGATTGAGAACAATCCATGACACTGGCAGGTCTCAGCTTTGCAAAGGGGGCAGTGCATGCTATAAATTCTGCAGGGTGCCCAAACTTGCAGACGCAATTTTTTTGTTTTCTGTTATTTTGAAAGTGTAAATGATGGAAATAAAATTAACTTTTGTTGACATATTATAAGAATGTCTAATCTGTAATTTGATGCCTTTTGGAGATTTTTCCATCTTTCCTTGGCTTCTTTATGCACATTAATACAAATTTTTAGCTGGGGTGCCCAAACTTTCGATCCCCACTGTGTATATATATATATATATACACACACACACACACACACACACACACACACACACACACACACACACACACACACACACACACACACACACACACACACACACACACACACACACACACACACACACACATATATATATACACATACATACATACACACACATATACATATATACATATATATATATACATATACATACACACACACACACACATACATACATACATATACACACACTGCTCAAAAAAATTAAAGGAACACTTTGAAAACACATCAGATCTCAATGGGGAACAATATCATGCTGGATATCTATACTGATATGGACTGGGTAATGTGTTAGGAACATAAGGATGTCCCATCGATTCATGGAAATGAAAATTATCAACCTAGAGAAGACTGAATTCAGACACTCTGATAATCAAAGTGAAAAACCTATGCAGCAGGCTAGTCAATTTTGCTGATAATTAATTGCAGCAACTCAAAATGGTACTCAGTAGTTTGTATGGTCCCCAAGTGCTTGTATGCATGCCTGACAATGTCCGCCATGCTCCTAATGAGACGACGAACCAGGGAGTCACTGAGCTCCTGGACAGACTGAGGTGCAACCTGGTGGTGTTGGATGGACCGAAACATGACATCCCAGAGGTTTTCTATTGGATTTATGTCATGCGAGCGTGGGGGCCATTCAATGGTATCAATTCCTTCATCATCCAGGAACTGCCTGCATACTCTCGCCACATGAGGCCGGGAATTGTCATGCACCAGGAGGAACCCAGGACCCACTGCACCAGCATACGGTCTAACAATGGGTGCAGGGACTTCATCCCGATACCCAATGGCAGTGAGGGTGCCATTGTCTAACCTGTAGAGGTCTGTGTGTCCCTTCGTGGATATGCCTCCCCAGACCATCACTAACCCCTTACCAAAACGGTCATGCTGAACGATGTTACAAGCAGCATAGCAATCTCCACGGCTTCTCCATACCCTTTCATGCCTGTCACATCTGCTCAGGGTGAACCTGCTCTCATTTGTGAAAAGCACAGGGTGCCAGTGGCGGACCTGCCAATTCTGCTGTTCAATGGCAAATGCCAATCCAGCTCTATGGTGCCAGGCAGTGAGCACAGGGCCCAATAGAGGACGTCAGCCCTCAGGCCACCCTCATGAAGTCTGTTTCTGATTGTTCGGCCAGAGACATTAACACCAGTGGCCTGCTGGAGGTCATTTTGTAGGGCTCTGGCAGTGCTCATCCTGTTCCTCCTTGCATAAAGGAGCAGATGCTGGTCCTACTGATGGGTTAAGGATGTTCTACAGCCCTGTCCAGCTCTCCTACAGTAACTGGCTGTCTCCTCCATGCTCTTGAGACTGTGCTGGGAGACACAGCAAACCTGGCAATGACACGTATTGATGTGCCATCCTGGAGAAGTTGGACTGCCTGTGCAACCTCTGTAGGGTCCAGGTATCGCCTCATGCTACCAGTAGTGACACTGACCCTAGCCAAATGCAAAACTAGTGAAAAACAGTCAGAAAAGATGAGTAGGGAAAAAAATGTCAGTGGCCTCCACCTGTAAAACCATTCCTGTTTTGGGAGTCATCCCATTGTTGCCCATCTAGTGCACCTGTTGTTATTTCCTTTAACACCAAAACAGCTGAAACTGATTAACAACCCCCTCTGCTATTTAACTGACCAGATCAATATCCCAGGAGTTTAATTGACTTGATGCTATACTCTGATTAAAAAGTGTTCCTTTAATTTTTTGAGCAGTATATATATATATATATATATATATATATATATATATATATATATATATATTTACTACACACATACATATGCTGTATATATACTACACATGTTTCCCAGATGTTTCCATATTTCTTGCGCCTAATGACTTGTGAACCCTTTCAAGGTAAATTCATAGCTCTCCCTCCCCCTGAGGATGTGATCCAAGCTCCATTTTCACTATTCCATAAGATGTAATATTGCAGTGGATTCAGCCATTTGAAAAATGAATCATTTCCATTTATGAGTCTCCTTTGCCTCTTTAAAACAAAAGCCGTTCTTCCAATTTAAACACAGAAATAATGATTCATTCTGCAAGCATCTCTGGATCTGTGGCCCTGTGAAGAGGAGTTATCGTGGCCATGGGGGAACAGGGAGGATTGGCAAGATCTGCTATAGGTAGAAAAAAAAAAGCACAGAAGACTTAACCTAATCCAAATACAATTCTCCTTTATATCAAGGATATTGCTGGAAAGTAACTCCTCGCTATTTTCTGTGCTGCGGTCAATGTGGCAGTAAGGCTCTTATGAACTGGCACACTTTATCATGTTGAAGTATTAGAAATGGACTTATGTTGGAGGTTTAGGGGCCCACTTTTATTGAGAGCATTTAAAAGTAACGAGAAGGACTAAACACAGCCTTTTAAATGAACCCGTTTTTAAAACTCAAAATATGAAAAAAATACTACTATACTGCTACATTACCAGAAAACAGTCTTCTGAAATTCTGGTGAATATCAGATGAAACAAAGTAGTTTATATAAAGCCAGCCACATTTGTTAGAATTTGATTGTACAATCAACTTAAAGGGAAAGTACAAGGTATTTTAAAGTGTAACTCCACTTTTGCTGAGAAAAGCATAATCCCCCTCTGTGATCCATGTACATTGCTAGCATCAGAACATATTTTGTAGCAGATTACTACCTTTTTTTGCTTTCAAGAAATAGCTGTTTGTTTCAGCAGACTGATTCTGAATGGGAGGGTCTGGTTTATTATAACCACCTGGTGAATGCTCAGTGTTCTGAAAAGCTGCAGTGTCTGCATCCCTTTAGAAGTATTCAACTCCTGGGAAGTATCTCGCCAGAACTGGAATTCTTATTACATATGTATATAGTTACATATGTAGCTAGTGTGTTTAAAAAAAAGACACAAGTCCATTTAGTTCAACCAATAAGAGTAAGAAAAAAAAAATATGATCCTATATAAAGAACCCTTTACCCACAGTTAATCCAGAGGAAGGCAAAAAAAAACCCCAATAAAGCTTGAACCAACTTGGCATTGCATGCTATTATTAAGAACTCCCAGATCCTTCTCCACCATGGATCCCCCAGTTGTACCCCCCCCCCCCAGTATATATGATGCATGCATATTCTTAGCCCCCCAAGTGCTGAACCTTACATTTATCAACATTAAACCTCATTTGCTACATAGTTGCCCAATTACACAGAGCATTGAGGTCGGCTTGTCAGTTGGAGACATCCTGTAAGGACGTTATTCCACGGCACAGCTTGGTGTCGTCTGCAAAGACTGAAATGGGATTTATAATCCCAGACCCTATATTGTTTATAAATATATTAAAAGTAAGGGTCCCAACACTGAACCTTGGGGTACACCACTGATGACCCTAGACCATTCAGAGTATGAATCATTAACCACTACTCTCTGAATACGATCCTTTAGCCAGTTTTATTATCCATTTACAAACTGATTTTTCCAATCCTGTAGACATTAGCCATGTGTGGGGAACTGTGTCAAATGAATTTGCAGAATCCAAGTATATTATATCCACAGCCACTCTTTTGTCTAAGGTTTTGCTCACCTCCTCATAAAAAGAAATCAGATTTGTTTGACAAATTAGATTGTACACTCTAACAAGCAGGGCCCCCTGATTCCTTTTGTACCAAATTGAATTGTAACTATAATGTCTGCCTTTATTTTGTAAAGCGCTGCGCAAACTGTTGGGGCTATATAAATCCTGTATAATAAAAATAATAATTTCTGTCTTTCATGAATCCATGCTGTCTGTTACTTGAAGTGTTACTAAACCCACAATAGTAAAATCAGTCTGTATATGTATTAAAGCATTTTTGATATACTGTGGAACCTAAGGGGTTAATCCTCTGCATTGTGTAAAAATGCTGTTTGATACTCACTTCTCTGATCCTCCCCTTCTTCCAGTGTCCCCTTGTTATCTCCTGATAAGACATATGGTGTGGAGACGCTCTGCACATGCTCAGTTTGATGTGTATTGATAGAGATTTTTTGTTCCTTGTAATCAGCACTATCCAGACAGAGGTCAGGGGCTCTGCATTCTCCTAGAGCAGAAAGAAAACTCCTCCTACAAGCTGTAACCAGTGCCTCAGCTGGACACTGATAGAAGTCACAGGACTGCTCTAACTGCTGATGAGAAAAGGTATTTAGCATTTTTTATTTACTAAAATAATTGCATTTCCATGTTGTGTGTACTGTGGGAGACCAGATATAGTGGATGCAGGGTCCTTGGTTTAGTAACACCTTCACTTCAAATATTTTTTTCAGCAAGAACTCATCTATGTGGTTTTTTTATTGAACTCTCAAGTATATTCCTGACTACAGAAGTTAAACAGGTCTATAGTTACTTGGTAAAGACTTTGATCCCTTACTGGCACCACAGTCTATCCAGTACTACTATGCCAGTCATTAAAGAGTCCCTAAAAATTAGAAACAATGGCTTTGAAATGTCAGAGCTCAATTATTTTAGGATCTGTGGGTGTATGCCACGCGGTCCAGGTGCTTTATTCACCTTTACCTCTAAATATTTCTGGACCTTGAGCCATTTGGGGCTGTGTCAATATCATCCCCCATTGTGGACAAGAGCTCCCCTATCCTCCTTTGTATACACAGAGCTGAAGAAGGTATTTAATAAATTTGTCTGCTTTTTGTCCCCAGTTACCCACTCTAGATTTTGTAAAGTGTCTACATGCTCGGACCGAACCTTTTTACTAAAAAATATATTTGAAATTTTTGGGGATTTTTTTTCTACTTTCTTTTGAATCTGTCGTTTGTGTTGAATTTTTGCATCCTTGATTTCTGTTTTACATATTCGGTTATATTCTTTGTAACATTTTAATGGTGATCGTGTTCATTCATTTTTATTTTTTTTTAAAGCTCGTTTCTTATTATTTATAGCTTTTTTAACTTTGGATGTGAGCCTTTTATACTTATTGCTTATGGGAATGTATTTTGCAGTGTGTTCACATACAGTCTTTGAAAAATTCACATTTCTGCTCTGTGTTCTTTGATGCCAATAATACCTCCCTATCTAAGTCCCGGAAAATTAGCTCTCTTAAAGTTAAGTGTTTTTATCTTTCCCATATGTGCTTGTTGTTTACAGCTTACATTAAATGAAACCATGTTATCTCCTAGATTGTAAGCTCCAAGGAGCAGGGCCCCACTATCCCTCTTGTATTGAACTGTATTGTTGCTGTATCGTCTCCCGTTATATTGTAAAGCGCTGAGCAAACTGTTGGTGCTATATAAATCCTGTATAATAATAATGTTATGGTCACTGCTACCCCGATATTCTTTTAAATGAACATTAGTAATAACCATCATTCCTAGTCGGGGTCTCTATGAACTGTACCATGAAAGCATCTTGTAATAGGCTTGTAAATGTTTGCCCTTTAACTGTTCCAGCAGTGCCAATACTCCAATTGATATCAGGATAGTTAAAATCCCTCATTATTATCACTGTCTCAGCCCTTACAGCCCTTTCCATCTGTGCAAATTGCTGAGTCTCCACCTCCTTAATTAAAATTTGGTGGCCTGTAACAAACTCCATTGATTGCCTTTGTAGTACACACATCCATATGCAGTTCCACCCACACTGCTTCAGCCTCATCACACTCTCCATCAGCCAGGTCCTCTTCCACACTCGCTTTCAGATCACTTCTTATATATAACAGACACCAACTCCTTTACATTTTACCCCATCTCTCCAAAAGAGAGCATATCCAGGAAAAGTAATAGTCCAGTCATGTGAGGAATGATGCCAAGATTCAGCAATACCAATTAGATCATAGTCTTTTTGTGCACCAAAGCTTCCAACCCTATGGCAGACTTCTGGCATTGGTGAACAAACACTTTAATTCATTATCAGATTTTGCGCTTGTGTTTTGCATATCTCTTTTTTAGTAGTACAAATAGTACTGAAATTTCAAATTGTTGTTTCTAACATGGGAACCTTCTTATCTGCCATAAACCTCCCCCATCTATCCCCATTCCACCTCCATTATTGTCTGACTCCTAACTGACCTGTCTGCCTCATTGATTTCTAGTTCACCCTCCCCCCTCAATCCTAGTTTAAATACTCCTCCAGCCTTCCCATAAACCTCTCCCCCAGCACAGAAGACCCCCTTCCATTTAGGTGCAGATCATCCCTAGCATATAGGTTGCACCCCAATGATAAATCAGTCCAGTGCTCTAGAAACCAAAATCTTTCCCTCTTACACCAGGTCTTCAGCCATGCATTGAATTCTCTAATCTCCCTCTGTGCGCATGGCACAGGTCATACTTCAGAGAATATCACCTTGCAGCCTAGTTCTTTAAATTAATTTTTAAGGAGCCTCCACCTTCCATGTATTCGGTCATTGGTTCCAACATGGACCAAGACCAAGACAGCTGGGTCATGCCCAGCCCCTCCCAGTAATTTATCAACCAGGTCCACCATGTGCCGAACCCTGGCACCAGGGAGGCAGCAAACCATTCAGTTGAGGCGATCCTGGCGACAAATTATTCTATCAGTCCTTCTGATTATAGAATCCTCTACTGCCAACTGTCTAGGCCTTCATGCACTACTCTCACCACCCCTCCCAGATGGTCTGCTCTCCTGGCTGTTAGGGATAGCAGTGACAGCCAGGGCTGCCACCCCTGAGCTTGCCACCCCCACATATTCACCCAACTTGGCAAATCTGTTTGAGTGCCCAAGCTCAGGGCCAGCCTTCTTTTTCTGTGAGCCCCTACCACTCCCTCTCATTACAGTAACCCATCTTCCTACCTGATAATCCTGATTAGCCCCTCTGCCCTCCATATCAATCCCATTAGCTACATTCTCAGAGAGCAGAAGACCCCTTTCAAGGTTGTCGGTTCTGTCCAGTGTTGCAACTTGCTCTTCCAGATCTCTAACACAAGTTTCCAGAAGGGCAACCCACTCACATCTGTTGCAGAGGTATCCATCCTGGAGCTGTTGCTCCATTGTTACATACATGCGACACACTGTGCACTGCACAAAACCTTACACCCTGCTAGCACACATTATCTTAGTTACAATATTAATAGGAAATATCAGATGTCACTTACAGGTTAGTAGACTCCTGTTATAATCTCCTGTTTTCCACTCCGATTTTTTAACTCTACTTATCAAATGTCCACTTACTCAAAGGTCCAGCAAGCAAAATACAGGCAAGCTCAGAGTGAGCTCTACGGCAAGTTTTATAGGACCTGGAGCACCTGTGACCAATTAACCACTCTCCTTAATTAGCAGACTGAAGGAAGAGAAGAAAAGGAAGAAAAAAAAATGCTATTTAAAGAGTGACAGAATAATATAAAAAAGTAAAAGCTTTTAGCAAGAACCAAATAAGAAAATAAAACAACTACAAGCACCAGCAATCACCAGCAGTCAAAAGTTAAACTTTTTCACTCTCCACTCAAATGTCCCACTCTTTTTAGCTATCAGCCAGCAAAAAATGTCAGACGCAATAACTTTCACACAAATGAAGTAATATTCACTTATTTCTTTTTTACCAAAGATATGTAGCAGAATACACTTTGGCCTCAATTTATAAAGAAATTAGATGTTTTGATTTTTTTTTATTGGATATGTTTTATAACAGAATTTAGAAAATATTCTTTTTCTTCAACATGTTTGGTCTTTTTTCATTTATATAATAACAAATAAAAAATCCAATGGTGATCAAATACCACCAATATAAAGCTCTATTTGTGTAAAAAAAAAATAAATAGAAAAATTTAAATTGCGTGTTGCATGACTGCGCAATTGCCATTTAAAGTAGCACAGTGCTGAATAGCAAAAAAAAAATGCCCTGGTCATGAAGGGGGTAAAATCTTCCAGAGAACAAGTGGTTAATGTTCCCTGCTGAATGGTTTTTTTTTGCATTGGTACCTTTCCCCCATGGCAGTGCCCAGCTACATATGCCGCTTTGTAACAAAAGCTTGCAGATTTGCCTTTCAAGGTGTCCGTTAAAAAAAAATCAAGTTTTTGTAAAGGAGACTAACTACTAATATGCACCTCAAAATGGTGAATTATACAATTAAAAATGAATACAAAAAACTTTATTACAACCATTAAAATATATCCATCACAATGTATAGTTAAAAAGTCTTCTGTTTGCATAGCTTGTGTATCTGAAGGTCAGTACAACAGAAAATTGTATAGATTACACACAACCAGGGGCGGACTGACCATTTGGAAACCCGGGCACTGCCTCATGAGATGCCCCTGGTACCTTTTTCATTGGCTTTTTTGAGTTTGGGCAGAGGCCCCATGATCCCCTATTGCCCGGGGGCCCCATGAGTTGTCAGTCCGCCTGTCAGGAATCTGGGTATGTGGACTGACACAGGGAAAACGCAGGCTTCAGGTATAGTATAACAATACAATTTATTAAGCAATACATAAACGCAGTGCAAAACATAACACAGTGCAACAAACCAAACCTCCAACAAACAACCATACATACAACACTAAACGTAGTCAGGCAGGCCGGGTCGGTAGCAAACGGGCAAACAAGGTACCAGGAGCAGGCGGGAGAGTGGTCAGGACTAGCCGAGGTCAGTACAGGCAGAGTTCGTGCAGAATCAGGGTAGAAGCAAGCAGGATCAGGATCCCAGGGCCAAGCGAAACAGTACAACAAGGCACTGACTGCAGGTCTGGCCATTCCTTAAATACACCTCCTGCAATCAGCCTCAGGTGATGGCTGACTGCAGGAGTGAGCTTCTGGTTGCTGAGAGCACCCGCTGGCTAGCCCTGGTACTGCAGCCCACAAGGCAGGTGAGTCCCACCACCATTGGCGAGTCCATTCCTGACACCGCCCCTGCACACAACAGAGTTGATGTATATAAGTTGACGCATTTTTGTGAGATCAACCACTTCCAGTTGACCAAGATGATTCCATAAGTACAAAAAGAACGAAAAGTATGCCCAAAAAAACTATTTTTAGAAACAACATGTTAATACAAAAAATTAAAAAAGGGGGAAAAAAGGAAAATCGAAGAAGCAGAAAAACAAAATTACTCAATAATATAATCAATCCTCCTTGAGGAGGGACAAAAAAAGGGAAAAGAAAATAGTCCCCAAGTCCAAATTCCAAAAACTCAAGGAGGACCCAATGCTATCTAAGTAACCACTGGCCTGTGGGAGGAGAAAAAAAAATAACAAGATTTTGATCCCATAGTTTTCAAAGAGGTTTGGCACTATGTTAGGGGTTAGCTGACTTTTTGCTGG